AATTATTTTAAGAATAAAATTATTAATTAAAGTATAAAAAATTAAAGAATTGATTTTAGGACAGAATTTGCAAAAAGAATTGAAGTAAAAATTCAAGTTGAATAAAATATAGGGTAAATTAGATATTTAGTTACCTAATTATTCATGTAGTTTCGTTTTAGTCATCAAACTAATTGTTTTTTTTTCAAATCATCACTAACATTACGTTTTTGCTCATTTTGATCAACAATCGTTAAACAATTAATTTGATGTTAACATGTCACCATAAGGTAAATTTCACATCATCATTGAAAAAATAAAAAAAATATCAAGTCAATAGTTCTGTTAATTTTTAATAGTAGATGGTCAAAATGAAATCAAAACGTAATATTAGTGAAGATTTTGAAAAACAAATAATTAGATAACCTAACATAACCAAAGTGATATTTAAGTGATTAAATACATAATTAATTTTTTTTTTAGTTTAGAAACTTTCTCTACATGTGATAAGAAAAAGCTTTTAAAATTCATATTAATTTTGAGTAAGTACAAGATAATATATGTTCTAAGATAACTCTCAACCATTTGACCGCATCCCATAATCCAGAAAATTAACTGATTTATAATGATAACTTTTTTTTATTATACACTTCCTTTTATTGTTGTTGTTGTTATTATTATTATTATTATTATTTTATTATTATTATTATTATTATTATTATTATATTATTATTATATTATTATATTATTATTATTATCAAAATCATATTTTGTGACGGTATAATTTCTAATAATTTATAAAGTACATAATGGACATATTATATTAAAGTAAATATAAAAACTGTTGTATAAACAATATTAATGTGACAATTCATGGTGTTAACATGACGGTACACAATATTAATTTGACAGTCCATAAAAACTAACAGCCTATTAATTCGAGTTTTAGAATTATAGATGTTAAGATTGTGAATATTTAATGTTAAAAAATAAATATTTAATGTTAAAAAATTGACAGTTATCTTAAGATAATATTATTTTATATTTACTTCAAATTATTCAAAAATAATAAAAATTAGAAATAATTATAATTTAAATATTATCAAAAGTAAACTTTTTTGATAAATTTGGGAAAATATAAGGATTTGGTATTTGTTCAAACATTTTTTTAATTATTTGATAATAATGCTTATATATATATATATATATATATATATATGTATGTATATATGGTGCTCAAATTCGAGACATCAAAGAATAACAAATCTATTAACCTCTAAAATCGTTTGATTCGTGCATCAAAAAGTATAATTTCTTCAATTAATTTAAGTAACATTTTAGGTTAAAATTGAAAATATTACGTTCTTCGTAACAAATCATGTAAATTGTATACCTATTCAAATTGCAACCTAAAGGTTACCATCAAGATATTTTCGCTTGATTCGAATTTCTTTATATTAATTATCTATTTTAATAATAGTATTTATCCTAAAATTTTATTTATATTCATCTATACAACAAATTTATTATTAATATATATATATAACCACCTTTAAAATATTTATAAATTCATCATTACTGTGTAATATAATCATTATCAATTATAATCTAAATTATTATCAATTGTATAATTTTTTAAATTAAAAATATAATATATTAAGTTAAATTTTATTTTAAATTAAACTTAAATTAGACTAATATTAACTTGCAAACCTGACAGGTATCTCTGCCAATAGTGGTCCCTATGGGTCTATAAACCTTACACAGCTCTCGACATAATACAGATTCGGTGGATGAAAAATCTTTGATGGTTGATTGTTGGATATTCGATTAATTATCTAACGGATTAATTATAAAAAATAAGGCAAAAATATTTGAGATTTATGTACTTTTTTAACAGATCAATGCAGATCATATATTATTTTTTAATGTAGTCATCCAGTTCAGAAATTAAGTTTAATGTAATCATTTGATCAATATTTTTTGTAATTAACAGTTATTATATTAATGTGATAATTTATGGTGTTGACATGACAGTACACAATATTAATTTGACAATCCATAATGTTGACAATATGACGAATAACATGACAGATAAGTTAAATTGACAGAACAAAGCATAATAGGAGCCAAGGGGTGCCTTGGTCGCGTCAATTATTTTTAAGTATTAATTAATATTAATATATATATATATTAAATAAAGAAAGAAAGAAAGAAAATGTACCAAGCCCCTCAATTTAAAAAAAATATTTATGAAAAATAAAAATAATTAAACCCAATATAATGAATTTCAAGTTTCGCCCATGTAAATTTGTAACTTAAACATAGCAGATTGATTGTCACGTCAGTACCGTGGACTGTCATATTATCACCGTGAACTATCACGCTAGCATTGTAACGATCAAATGACGAAAAACGTTGTTTTAGGTCATATTGAGTTTATTTTTTAAATTAGAGAGACACATTGAGATAAAAATAACAACACGATGATCATATTGAATTTTTTCCAAAAGTCCAAAGACTTGTAATACCTTTTTGCCAAAAATTTATCTAACAGATTATAATTTCATATATTTAGTTAAGAATAGTTATTCTATCAATAATATTAAGAATAGAGATGGATTGAAGGAGCAATTGGAAAACTGTCTCCTATTTTTTGAACAATAAGAACTAGTTTTTATTAATATAAAGGGGATAATGTGAAAAATATATATAAATTATACTTCTTTTTACATTTAGGTATCTAAACTTTTTCAATCAATTTAAGTGTTTAATATTTGTAATGTTATCATTTAGGTACCTTTGTAATAGACGTTAATAAAATTTCGTAAATCACTCAATCAAAATGCGACATGTAGTGGCTTTATAAGTTTTTAAAAATTTTATTTTAAAAAAGTTAATTATTATTAATTTAAAAAATAAAACATTTTTTAAATCTCAAAAGCTCTAAATTTCTTAATCTCAAAACATCCACCCCAACTGTTTATCGTCTACCGCCATTGTCGCCCCCATCAGTAGCTTACCCACTCGTCGTCGCCTACCCACCCATCAGCGATCTTCAATTATAGCTTCAAACCTCAAAATCTAAATTCCAACACGCATCCACACTGATTGACAAGTGAGTGGTCGAAGGATGGTGGACGTGTGAGTAGTCCGTCGGTGAGTGGGTGATCATTGACGGTGGTGGCGGTCGGATGGTGAATTGAAAGTCTTAGGGTATTTTATGAAAATTATGAAGAGTTAAGGTTTTTTTATTAAAATTTCTGATTTTTTCAATGAAGGAAATAAAAAAATCAAGCCACATGTCAAATACTAATTGATTAATTTTTAACAGATTCTTTTAACAGTTGTTAAGTCACATACACCTAAATGATAATATTTGTAACGATAGACACCTAAATAAGAAAATAGATATAATTTGAGTAATTTTTTATATTAAGCCTAATAAAAATCATGAAAAAAAAATAAAAATTGTGACACACGCAAACATAGAGCGAAAAATGAAAACAATAGTTACAATAAAACTCATACAACAACAAAAGTATTACACTCGAAGACATGAAAAAAAATGAAATACTCTCTTAAGAATGACTTCTAATATAAAGAAAACTCTGTAATCTTAAAAAATTCATTGTATATGTCGAACGATACACTTTACGAAGAGATAAAGGAGTGCTGAGTGAACCAAACAATCTCACAGACTGTTTTGCTATACAATTCTAATTGTATTAACAAATAACTTTTTACTCAAGAAAGATCTGACCATACATGACCATAAACAGACCAATTATAAAATGTCATGAGGATCTTTATGCAAACACAAAAATAAACACAAATATATACATAAAATATACCAAAAACCATAAAGAACAAATTCCAAAAGTAAAGAAACATGTGTCACAAGAATAAAAAAACTTATCACAAAGATAAAAATTTTATTTCAGAATTAAAAAAACAAAAAAAAAACAAATGACATAATAAAAAATAAGATAATTAATAATCGTCAACTGAAATTTTAAATCATCATATATTTTAAACACATTTTTATATTTTCATAAATAATTTAATTTCTATCTCTTAAAATTTGATGAATTTATTCATTTTTTAAATTTTATCTCTAATACAAAAACTATAAATCCATTCATGATAAATTTATAGTTTTTTTAAAGACATCTAACTGCACTAAAATTATACGAATACCCAAAAATTAGCATGACATCCACCTCCGAAAAATTATATTTTAAATTATTTTAAAATTATAAAACCATTTTGGCATTTTCACCGAAATCACTCACAACCACATCCGCCAAATCCTGATATAAACTCACACTAAAAAGTTTCGACCAGCTTATATCTCAATTTCCATGGCGGAAACTGATTCGAACCGTTCAGTGGACCCGAAAACCGGCTTCTGTCACCAAACCGGAACTTACAGTTGCACTAGACCGCCAATCCCTTTGCCGCCAATCAACCAACCGCTTTCCGTCGCCGAATTTTGTCTCTCTCTTTTCCACCGCACCTCCACCGACGGCGCCACCACTTTCGTCGTCACGCAACCACCGGCGCAACGCTATCTTACTCTCAATTCTTTTCTCAAGTTCGTTCCCTTGCCTACTACCTAAAACAACGTTACTCTCTACACAAAACGACGTGGCTTTCATTCTCTCACCGCCTTCCATTTATATCCCCCTCGTTTACTTCGCTTTGTTATCGTTGGGAATCGTCGTTTCTCCCGCCAATCCACTTAGTTCCAACTCGGAACTCGCTCACCAGATCCAGCTCTGCAAACCCGTCGTTGCCTTCGCCACTTCAAAAACCTCTCGCAAATTCCTTCTCTTCAACGTGAAACAATCATCCTCGACTCGCCCGAGTTTCTCTCGTTGTTAACCCAGTCCAATATCGACAACAATGTCATTGAAAGAGTCGATGTAAACCAGTCCGACACGGCTGCGATTATATTCATCCGAACCACCGGGCGAGTCAAGGGCGTGATGATGACTCACCGAAACCTGATAGCAATGATGGCGGCGGTTCACCACAGCTGGACGGAGCAAGCCGAAGGTAACGAGAAGCCGCCGCGGTCGGTGACGTTGTTCACGGTGCCTCTGTTCCATGTGTTCGGCCTCTTCATGTTGTTAGGGGCGGTTTTGTTGGCGGATACAGTGTTGTTTTTGGAGATGTTTGATTTCAAAGAAATGCTAAGAGCAGTCGAGAAGTACAAGGTTACAGACATGCCGGTGTCGCCGCCGCTTGTGGTGGCATTTGTTAAATCGGATTTGACAAAGAAATACGACTTAAGCTCGCTCGAAGGGCTTGGCTGCGGCGGCGCGCCGCTTGGGAAGGATGTTTCTGAACGGTTCAAGGAGAAGTTCCCCAAAGTATTATTGGTTCAGGTATGTTCTCTATGTTTCATTGTTCAAACCCCCAACCCCAAATATTAATAATAAATAATAAATTACACCATTAAACTTTTAATATACCTGAACTTTAATAATTAAATAGAAAAATACAACAAAATTATTACTGTTAAATAATTATTTCATTTCTGTGATTGACAATAACAAGATTTTGATTGATATTGACATGATTATATGTTTAATCACAATTAAGAGTTTTATTGGTCAATAAAAAATAAGGATAAAATATATATTTAATATCTAAATTATTATTTTTATTTTATTTTGATATCTAAATTTTATATTTTTTAAAATCATATATAACATTTAGTTTATGTTTAATTTTAATATCACGTCATAAGATTTTAACGAATTTTTTGTTGACGATATTTTTATATTAAATTATATCATTCATCATTTAATTATATTCTCACTCTTATTTTAGTCATTAGAGTTTAATTTTTTAATTTAATTATTAAATTTATTAATTTCTCATATATTAATCATTTTAATTTATTTTATTAATATTTTTATGACATATCATTTTTATTAATATACAATTAAATTTAAAATTATACTCAAACCAAAAAATTATACCACAAACCCCTAGGTAGGCGCAACGCCAGTGAATAGAGAGTGACTAAAATGGAAGGTGTGGGTTGGAGAGGCAGTAAGGACGAAATCATAAGAGCGAGTGACGAGGAGGTTTTTATTTATAGTTTGAGTATAAATTTAATTTTTAAATTTAATTTTATTATTTTAGTCGTATATTAATAATATAATAATTACAAGATTTCACATCATAGAAAATATTAATAATATATAAGTTAGAGTAATTAAAATTGGAGTAATTTGAAATTTAAATGATTAAATTAAAAAAAATTTGAGTAACCAAAATAAGAGTAAAAAAATAATTGAGTGATGAATGATGTAATTTACTCATGAAAAATGCTGCACAATATTTCCGTTAATTTTCAACAATTAGATATTAAAATAAAATTTAAAGTAAATGCTAGGTATAGTTTAAAAAAATCTAAAGTTTATATATTAAAATATAATAAAATTAATAGTTTAGTTATTAAAAGTATATATTTTACCTTGAAAATAAAGTAAATATTTTATTAAAATTGTGATACATTATATCATTTTATTGAAAAATATTAATTTGTTTGAGAAATAGTATGAAACACATTAATTTAATTGTAGTTAAATATACGAATATGTCGTATTAATTATCATTAATAACAATGAAATGAAAACATTCTTTAACGACAATGATATTAATGAAAAATTTTGATTTTTGATTGAAAGAACTTTAGTGAAAATTTGCCTTAAAAATTTAGTGATAACCAATGTAATTTAACCTAATAAAAAAATATTAGAACTTATTAGACGTACATTTGAATTAAAATGACAATCATGTTAAAATTGTTTAATATATGGCAGTTGATAATCACTAAATTAGTTAAAAAGTTCTATTAGGAGTTATTTTTAATTAATCTGGAGCAAATAAAATGTAATATTTGTTCAAAGATAACTCTAAAAATAATAGAGATCTTAAAAATTATTACACCTCTATAAAATAATTTTTTATGATTCTAAATTAAGAAATTTTTATATTTATAAAGTTAAATATTTAATTATTGAGAAATCTAATTTCACGAGACTTTTAACTTAAAATAAGTATCTATTTATTAAATAAACTTAATTAATAGATAATGTTTAATCACTAAAATTTATTTTGAAATTTAATTTTCTTATCAATTATAATTTGAGTTAATATCTAACAAGTTTGAACAAATTAATTTTATGATAAAATATTTAAGAATTATATCCTGCCAACGAATGCTTTTTCTTTAAAAGTATCTCTTTTGAACAGAAAAATAGGTAATTATTTAAATGAATAGGTGCGCATATCATAATTTCATTTTTTTTATACCAATAATTATTTTCACCAAGCAACTAATTTTATTCAAAATAAAAAATATCTCAAATTCCAATAAAGATTTACAATTATAATTGTAAATTAAACGTATAATTAGGATAATTTTCTATAATCATTGAAACAAAATTAATAATATAAGATCACATAAGAATCATATAAAAAAAAGATTAAAAATCTAACCAATAAACTCGAACAAAGATATATACAAACATTGGTAAATGAAACATAAAAAGATTAAGTTATTGAAAGATTACCGACAAAAAATAAATCAAACTCGAGCAACGTGAAAAGTTATTCATGAATGCATATCGGGTATCCAAATTCAATTCAAGTGTCCAAAGCATAAAAGATCAATAAAATATAAGATAAATGTCATTTTAATCAGTCATAGTAATGTCAAATCAACCTTTATAAAAAATAGATGAAAAAACGACTAAACAATAAAAAAACATACCATAAGACAGAAAAAAATATGTCATAAAGACAATTGAAAACGTGTAATACAAATAAACTTATTCAAAATAAAAAAATAGAGATGCGATATAAAAAAATTATAAAATATATAGATTGTCAGTAACTAACGTTAAAATTGGTGTGACAGCCATCTTTATAGTAATATTCTAAATGGTTTGATCAGTTTCTATATGCTTTTGGTCTATATTAGTCCATGGATTTAGATTTTTTTTTTATTGATTTGATATAATTAGAGAGTGTTAAATGGAATCAAATTGAGTTTAGAGGAAAAAGAAAATTAAATCACATTTAAGATACTTCCTTTGACATTAGTAAGCCATTAGTAAGCAAAAATATGAAGAGAATAATATATATTTGTTTTAGAATTACTATTATTTAAATATTGTTAATGGAAAAAATATTTCAACAACAATCTTTTTGTTTGTTTGTAAAAACTAACAATCTTAATATATTGACAAGACCATATTTATTTATTTTTAAAATGTTATAAACATTTTTTTTGGTACAAAAATATTATAAAGACATTTATTATCGTACACGTTTATTTTTTTGAATAAAAATATTTTATGTGAAGGCCTTTTTCTCTTTGAAGAATTTAAAATCCCACAATTCAATACAAATTTTAACTTTTAATAACAAAATTCAAAATTTGTTGCAACATATATCGTTAAGGATAAGATAGAGGAAACATTGGACCGCAAAATAAGCTGAATACATGCATGAAACTCTTAAACTCTTATTAATTTGATTAAACATCAATCAAAAAATTAAAGCAATTTTCATTGATTTAAAAAAATTATTAAATTAACAGTAAACGTGGGATAAAGAGATGAAATTATAAAATATAAAAACTTTATTGAGCGAAAATTGAAAAATGTAAATTAATTTATTAATTCGAGGGTTGATGAAATCCTCAAATTGTAAAAATAAAAGAAATAGTTAACAAATATTAAAACCAAAGGGTATAGTCGGTAATTTCGCAATACTTTTGGGTATTATAAAAAGATGAGATCCGTAGACTACATATTTGTCAGCCAACTGAAAGGTGGAAACTGAAAAAGCTAAGAACATCAGCGTCGCTCCAATGGCGGAAACAGTCCCCAACCGCCGACGTGCAACGGTGGACCCCAACACCGGCTTCTGTCCCCAAACCAAAACATTCCATTCTCTCCGACCATACGTCCCTCTTCCGCCACCTTCTCGGCCTCTTTCTCTCCTAGTTATGCCCTCTCCCTCCTCCGCACCTCCTCCTCCTCTAGCGACACCGCTTTCATCGTCGATGCCACTAACGATCAAACCCTTTCTTTCTCCCAATTCATCGCTCAAATCCATTCCCTCTCTTATTCCCTGAAGAAAAACTTTTCGCTCTCAAAAACGACGCCGCTTTTATCCTCTCTCCTCCGTCGTTTCACGTCCCTTTGCTTTACTTCGCTCTAATGGCGTTGGAATCGTCGTCTCGCCCTCCAATCCGCTCGCTTCCGAGTCGGAAATCGCTCACCAGGTCCGGCTTAGTAAACCCGTTATCGCCTTCGCTACCTCGAAGACGTCTTCCAAGCTTCCATATCTCAAACACGGAACAGTCATCCTCGACTCGCCTGAGTTCCAGTCTCTCTTAATTCAACCAAACGTCGACGCCGTCATCTTCGATAGTGTCGAGGTAAATCAACACGACACGGCGGCGATCCTTTATTCTTCCGGGACAACCGGGCGAGTTAAAGGCGTGATGCTGAGTCACCTCAACATAATCGCGTTGATTGCCGGGTATTATCACATACGGTACACCCTCCAGGTAGCGGCAGACGAACCGCACCCGGTATCGTTTTTCACGGTGCCTTTTTTCCACGTTTTCGGGTTCTTTATGTTGGCGAGGGCGTTTGCGCTGGGAGAAACATTGGTTTTTACGGAGAGATTTGACTTTGAGGGGATGTTGAGAGCCGTTGAGAAGTACAAAGTAACTTTCATGCCGGTCTCGCCGCCGCTTGTAGTGGCGTTTGTTAAATTGGAATTGACTAAGAAGTATGACCTCAGGTCGCTTTCACTGCTCGGCTCCGGTGGTGCTCCGCTTGGCAAGGAGGTCACTGAGCGGTTCAAGGAGAAATTCCCCACCGTTGAACTTATTCAAGTAATAAACACTAATTCAAACAAGGAAAAACTGTTGATGGCCAAACAATATTACATTTGAATATACATTCGCATTTGAAATTTACATTAGAATCCGAAACATAATCTTTTGACACTTTCCCTACCTTGTTAGGTTATGGTCATATGCACTAATCTATGCTACTTATCCTAGTTTTTTTATTATGTATATAAAATTATATTTGAATTCATATTAATATTTAAAATATACATTCAAATCCGAATAATATAACCTTTTAACATGATAAATTTTTCTTGGCTTGTTAGGTTATGGTCGTATGCATTAATCTGTGCTACTTATCCCTATTTTTTCATATGTATATAAAACATTACATTTGAATATATAATCGTATGTGAAATTTACATTCGAATCTTAATAATATCATCTCTTTGATATGATGATTTTTTCTTGGCTTGTTGGGTTATGGTCCTATGCACTAATCCATGATCTACTTATCCCCCCTAGTTTAGGTGGATGCTAATAGTA